AGCAAACTGACTCCAGAGTTATAAGTAACAGTTATAGCTTAGTAAAAATCCATGACATACAGATGATTTCACTTTCTCAACCACAAAGAAAGAATCAGTCGATTTAAATAAACTATTGGAGAATGATTATGCACTTAACCAATGAAAATTCGTTGATATAAGTAAAGAGAACAGATGGCCTGAGTATCTGATACGTATTTAGTAATTAAAATTTCAAACTTTCAGATATATTTTCAAATGTAAAACCTATTCAATGTAATATTTTCCTATCGATGTCTTCTCATAACCTTTAGTACTCAGAAAAAGAAACATTGTAGAAATCAAATGTTAACTTTTACAAACGTAATATTATCGTCAATGAATTATTCAAATGTCTTTTCATAATATATGTATAAGAAGTTTTAGATTGGAATTTACCTAATAATAAAGTAGATTAAACTGAACACTTTGTGTTGTGATTACCAAAAAAAAAATAGAAATAGCTTTATGTCAGAAAAATTGCAACGTTGATCTTTTTGTAATCAAAAATGCTACAAGAGTTATATATGTTGACAATTGTTGGATTTCCGATGTCAAATATTTTCTTCCTTCTCCATTCATAAAATATGAATACATTTAAATGGACGTAAAAGAACAGAAGGATTTTTATTATGCATTAATCATTTGCAGCACAAATATGTTTTGATAGAAGTACTCATCATTGATGGCAAAGATATGTCTATTATTCTTTTGTTGTTATATTCTCTCAATTTTGTGCAAGTTTCACAGTCTATTGACACAATGTTTCATCTGTTCAATTCTGAAATGAAATTCGATTTACAAACAATATATGTTTGTCTTTATATCTTCGGCCCGATTGAATTCATTATGCCTTGTCACGAAATATTCAGATTTTCTCTAAGATTTTCCGGGTGGTTTTCATTTCAATAATATGTTTTTTTTCAAAGACTTTTGGCAATAGTCATTTAATTTTTCCGTAGGAAAATTGTAACTTCTCATTCGAGTTTCAATACGAATTCATAGTCTTGTTTTCTATTGTAACGTTCAAAGTCAGACACAAATTTTGTACGACTAGATTTTTAAAATATGATTTCTAGGATGATAACAATCAAAACTAGTTTTTATCGATTAGAGGGTTTTTCGGATATGTGACTTAATTTTTATATAAAACTTGACCAGTATCACATGTCGAAATTTTGTTCAGTTCAAATCCACATGTATCGACATAGTTTATCTAAAACCAATGCACGCTCTGTATCTAGTATTTTAAAAGATTTTTCTTCAAGCCATTGATGATATTATAACTCTAGATCAACTGAATATTTCAGGCTAAAACCAAGACCAGAGAAGTTTCAACCAAAGATCTTTGAATGCTAAAAGTTTGAGCAGAGTCAGGGATAGAATGTAGAAATCCTGTTCTGCGGAAGGAGTCTCTCAATACGTAGTAGTTATGTAATGTTGCGGAAACAGCTATAAATCATATGATTTATTCACTAAAGTATTCTAATGATGTATACAAAATCGAGTTCAATTACACTGCGTCCATACATGACTGGTTTGAAATATGCCAAAAGGAAATATTTAATTCACTGGTATCTTTCATATCTAGTAAAAGTAAAATCAGCGAAAGCTGTTCAGACAAAAGAAACTAATCTAGGTTTTGAATCAGACTGGTTGGTGTGCCAGTCACCAGCTCGATGCAGTTGAACGTTTAAAGCCAGAAGGTTTTCACCGATTTTGTATCAATTTTTTCGGCATTGAAGCTAGTCTATTTAGCTCGTTTTTATCGATTTTCGACGATTTAACGGTCCAAAAATATGAGCGCAAAAGTTTCTAACTGATAAGTTTCTAGTGTTTATCAAAATTCCATCTATAAATTTTGAACTTATGCTTTCTGATGGTATAATAAGGGTCTAGGATCATGCTCAATATATTGATTATGGTCACGAAAAGGTAGCCAATGATTCAAAGTTAAATTTAGTATAAACTAAAATATTTTCTGTTTCGAAATTTCAAGCTCGCTTTTGCTGGAGTGCTATTTAACCGACTGTCAAAAATTCTCAATGACTAGTAGTTTTAGTTCATATTTTCGTTACATAAATATCAGAAAAGTTATATATAAAGCCTAGCATAAAAATCCAACTTTGTAGCTCATTTTGTCTTTCTATTGACAATAGTAGCCTGATACAAATTGAAAAGCCTTTCAGTTG